TTTCAGTGGGATTTAATTCGCAGTGATAAGCCTTAAAATGGTCGTTATTTGGGTTTTTAGCCATTTCGTCAATAACATTGAGATTATATTTATATTTGTGCTGCCTGACTAGATGGATAACTTCTGCTTTGACGATATTTTTATTGACACTAATGTCTTTTGATAGCAGCCATTGTTGAATTTCTGCCTTTCTTGTGGACATTTTTTCTAGTTTTCTAGTGTGGTATGCAGCACTATCAAGAACAATGACGGCATTGTCGCCAAACTTTGGGAGCGTTTCTTCAAACCATCGTTCAAATGAACTCCGGTCCATTTCTTGAAGGTAGTCGGTCGTTTTCTTTAACTCAACTGCCTATAGGGCAGTGGGCACAACCCCATCTTCACTGCCAATGTCACAGATAACAAATTGTTTTCCTTTTCCTGGAAATAATTATTTCATATAGTATTAAAGAAAACTAATAATAATACAAGCAGAGTACCCAACAGGTGTTGATTCCAAATCTACCAGATATAGGCAACTTTTCATCGTGAGCTCATAGATTTAGTCTACTTGACACCTTTTTTACAATACAAATGACGAATTGGATAGATACACGTACCTGACGGATTCTTTAGGCCAGTGGTTAGTCCATCTAAGAAGGCTTGTCTTTCTGATTTAATTGTAGAATCAGTCCATGCTTTAGGTTTTGTATGCCCTGCATTTATCCAGGTTCCATCCAAGCAATAAATCTTCCTGTCCTGGTCGCGGTATTTCTTTATTGATTTTAAATAATTTCTTCTCCATAAAATAATCTCTCATCTGTCCATCAAAATACTATTTCTGTCCCGTGAAGTTCTTTGAGTAAACTATCGAATGTGGTCCTTTTGGAAATAGGTAAGTCTTCATCACTATTAACCTCCTGTAATACTTTGTCTATGGTGGGAAGTTCCGGCCTTTCAAAAAATTGATGGACCTTGCGTCTATGGCATCTCGATCAATGTGTGTGGTGGAGAATTTTTTTGAAATTCTTGAACAATGTTAAAAAGTGTCTTAGGACATAAGCCTGTTTTGTTCGCCGCACGTCTTTCAATATCATGAATTTTCATTTCAGGATGCTCAAAAATGTCACTCTTATAAACGTTAAGGATAATTTCTTTTGCCTGAATATTCAAATGTCCCTTCTTGTCACGTTTTCGGGGAGTAGACATCACTGAAGAGGAAGCATGGCTGAAGGAAGCATTGGGGAGAAATATTGTCAGTTAAAACATCTGTATCCGTAGGCGACATGCTAACGTATAAACACACACTATATGTATGCACCGAATATGAACAGCAACTGCCGGCGTCGGCGTGACGGCGATACCCCGAGCCTGAGTTCTATCCTTTGGAATCCTGCATTTGTTCTTAGTTTTATGGCGGAATGACCAATAGCTATTGCAACGCTTAGGCGGCTGCCGCTTTGCCGCGCAGCATCTTTGTTATGCCGGGGTATAATATGTTCATTAAAGGTGGAATAGTGATTTTTGTATAGTTCGTGTTCAACAAAAACACGACAACATTATAGGTTGGATCATATTCTAGATAATATTTTACTATGTACAGAACAATTGCTATTTTGTTGAACCTACGAATTAGGGAAAATATGTTTTTATAAATAACCCTACTATTGTATAAAAATGAATGGAGTGAATCCGAAATATCTTCGATTACAGTGAATATGACAGGTGGTTTCCACGCAGCCACCTGTATAAATTAAGAAATTATTGGTAGCGAGTCTCGAATAAAACGGGATGCTCTCTTGGACTTATCTAAAATCAAATTGACCAATAAAGTGCATACATTAAGGTGGTTTCGTGCAGGCATCGCGAAAATAAAGTTACGGGACGCCTGCAATCGCGGACGCTCGACCGCGCCACGGGTGGGACGCCAGGGCAATTAGAACATCAACTACTCCAGATATTAGTAAGGCGATGGCTTCCCAGAGGCGTGCAAGCAAATCACTCCAAATATCTCATGTGATCGAAATAAGGGACATCTCTTTTCAATGGTACTACATCCCAAATTGAGCCTTCTCCATCAACGTCTGCCTCCAGTTCACTTGCTGAGGCACACTGGTGCCAAATCAAGATATCATCAACTGGAGGTCGAAAAATAAATACTGGATCTGATTTTTTTCTGTAGACAGCTTACGATATTACAAACAACCTTTATACAATTTTGTAAATGTGGCCTAATTTTGAAGAAATAAATGATAGTTTGAAAAATCACGCAACTAAAAAGTAGAAAATAATTTTTAATTACAAAGAGTTTATATTACAGTAGTAGATGGTCGAGCAGTCAATCATAATTTATGATCTCGAAATAAAATAATAATAAAAATTAAGTTATAAACAGAATAATTCAATTCAGAGTAAAAAGCGTGGGGTGCTTGGTATATTTAGGGCCGATTTCACCAACATTAATATTATGGGCCAATGGGAAAATACCTTATCGAAATGCAATTTGATAGAAGCTGTCAAAGGTCTCAGAATATCAGTGATTTCTATTAAAATATTGAATAAAATCGTGAAAGTTCGACTGTATTATAAACAAGACCACTTCTTGATTCCAACATGATGCTTTTGTACAGAGAAAACAGGTCAACTTTCATGTATTTTGATTTGTGTTATAAATTTACATTTAACAATCAGTTATCCCCAAAAGCCAATGGGAATGCGGCAAATATTAGGTCGATTTTCTAGCTGTTAAATTTGACAGCAGATTTAGATGTTTGTTAATGCATGGCAATCTCGAATTTAAGTTCAATATACTGTTATCTTTACATACCTGTTGAATAGTGTGCATTTGTCTGTATTTTGCAAGAAAATAGAATGTATTTTATATACATATACATATGATTTATAGCATAACCCGCTGCCCTATCAATACAAATTTAACATACAGGTCGTCTAGCCGTGGGGATGCAGTGGTCGGGATGAATATCACGGCAGCTACTGATGATTTGGGCATGTCTGGTAACAACGGATGAAGTGAAACTCACTAACTTCACAAATTTGAAGATTTTGTACAATTTCTTTGAAAATGATGTAAGATATGTCTGATTTGGCAGGGTAATGTCGCAGCCAAATGGCAGTCACTCTTTCTGACACAGTCCGGATCGAAGGATGGCGATACTCGTGAAATGTATTGATACTTCTAAATATAGGATCGTATGGAGCATCCCTACTGTCAAGATGTATAACCCGAGGTACCGACGGAGCTATTTTGTGGCGTTATGGAAATAATTTTAAATTTTCATTTGCATTTTTTCAAGCGTTGTGCAATGATTTTGGGAAAAATGTCACGAATAGTCTTATGCAGCATAGTAGAGTATATTTCAACAGTTGGCGGAACTTCACTGGGACCAGGAGGGTGAAACGGGATATTAATGCACAATCTGGCAACCCTGTCGCACCCTCACAAAATGGCCACTGACAACCACACAAGTCACCGTGTTGTCATTGAATAGCATGGAATTAAACGTTCAGAGTATATGTTTTGTGACTGGTACCAAGAGTTGACAGATCCCACACATGTGTCACTCCTTGAAATTCAATAATCAGCTATATTCAAATAATGTCTAATATATCGTAGATAAAGTATAACCTAGAATATGTACTCGTGAAAAAAAAAGGCAAATTTGTAGTTTTTTGCAGGTTTTAGGTTTGCTGGTAGCTTTAAGGCATATATACTAAGTGACATATAAATCCGAATACCCAGTTTAAATGGTTTTATTTTAATAAAATTTTGTATAAGTACTTAATGAAGCATAATAAGTAAATTATAAAAATGTCAAAATGATTGCACTGCTTTAAAGCCCTTTGACCTTTAATAATGTGTGGATGCACCCTGATGGGCTACGCATTCTCCAACGCGCCTAGGCATGCTTCTGATCAGGTGGTCAATGTCCTCCTGTGGTATCTCATTCCAGACAACCACCAACTCCTCTCGAAGTGCTTCTAGAGTCTGAGGAGGACGTTGCAAATTTAGCAATCTCCTACCCATCATATCCCACACGTGCTCAATTGGGGATAAGTCGGGAGATCTTGGTGGCCATGGTAACAATGTGACATCATTATGTTGAAAGAAGTCTATTGTAACTCTTGCAACATGTGGTCGGGCATTATCTTGTTGGAAATTTGGATCTGCCAGGGTGTCAAGATAGGGTAAAAGATGGGGTTCTAGAACTTCGTGGATATAACGCTGCGCGTTCATGTTACCTCTGATGAAGATTAAAGGTGACCTGGAACCATAAGCTATAGCACCCCAAACAGCGGCGGCTCGTGGTCTATGATACAGGGGGTTCACAAGTGGTATAAAATAATTTTTTTTACCCCCACCAAAATTTTTATGTAATGCGTGACGTAGAAGGCAATAAGAGTACTAAAACAATCATCAAGGACACATTTTTTGTTATTTTTTTTATTATACACAAGAAAATACATTTATAAAAAATACAATTTTTTTAATGAGTACAGTGTTTAAACGTAAAGTCCATTCTCCTGATTTTATTTGCAGAAAATTTATCAATAACTAACTCGTTAAAGTTTGGAATACCCGCTATACATTTTTTCTCGATAGATAGCATTGCTAGCGCTGACAGTCTTTCTTCATTCATAGAACTTCGCAAAAATGTTTTTATTCTCTTCAATGTCGAAAAGCATCTTTCACTTTCGGCCGTAGTCATTGGTATGGTAACAATTATTTGTAAAAGTGTAAAGGTGGCAGAAAATATGCTCTGAAGATTATTTTCTATAAAAAACTGTAACAAACTAATGGCACCAGTCATATTCCTGAAGTCAGGTCGCCGGTAAATTAATTCCAATTCAGTCTGGAGACGAACTTTATCTAAAAACGAATATGCTTCTACTACAGTTTCCAAATATTGCAATGGAAAATGCTTTTCAAATTGTGGAAATTTGTCAGAAGAAAGAAGAATAGCTGCATTTAAATGTTTTGTAAAAGAAAATCTATCTGTTACATGTGTAATTATGGTATCACAAACTTCCTTGGCTGCAACAGCTCTGCAAATATGCTGGTCTTCATTTGCACGACGCTTTTTAGTTTGAGTAGTAGTGGTATCTTCAGAAATTTCAGTTTCAATTGTTTCCAAGCAGTCTCTCTCTTTTTGGATGCAGTTTTCAAAACACTTTATGGCAGTCTGAATTTGCACTGGGTCAGTCACTGTTTTTTGTAACTGATTATATAAAATATCAGCATGTGGCAATATTCGATGAAATACAGTTAGCCAGAACACAAACTTAGAATCTTGTAGCATACGGCCAATACCAGTGGCTTGATTGATGGTAACAGTTTGTTTTGAAGTAGCTTCTATTTTTTCCATGCATTCTATTAACAATTCGCGATATTCATATACTGTATTTATAGATCTGCTTTTAAAATTCCATCTTGTAACAGAAGACCTAGGAACTCTTGCACCAACAATGTCATCCAAAACTGCAACTCGTTGTGGAGAATGAGAAAAAAAAGTTGAAATATCGCTTAAATTTGAAAAAAATACCCGTACTTCTTGATTTTGGCTTGTAGCTTGCAATAAAATCAAATTTAGCTGGTGGGCATAACAATGAATGAAATAAGCATAAATATAATCGCGTTGGATAAGAGCTTGAACACCTCCACGACGTCCACTCATTACACTAGCGCCGTCATAACTTTGAGCTATCAGTTTCTCTGGTTTATCTAGCACTTGTATTAAATTAGTTCTCACACATTCTGAGAGACTAACTGCATCGTGGTCAGGGGGGGTAACAAAATTCCAAAAACGTTCAACTGGCCTTCCATCTGGTAGAATGTACCTAAATACTGTAGTCATTTGATAACAATTAGCTACATCCGTTGTTTCGTCAGCCATAACAGCAACAAATTCAGCTTCCAAAATTTCTTTCCTTATATTTTCCTGAGCCACTTGTAACATGCAATCTAACAATTCGTTTTGAATGATTTTTGATACCCCTTTGAATACTGTCGATTTTTCAAAATGATCTTTAAGTGCTATATCTAATTCGGCAGTGAAATTTATTAAACCTCTAAAAATACCAGGATTTGATGAACCATCTTTTTCGTCGTGACCGCGGAGGGCTAATTCAAAAGCTCCGCAAAATTTTATGCAATCAATAATTTTTGAAAGCACATACCTATTCTTTCTAACTTGTTCATTTTGCTGTTGAATACTGCGCCTATATGCACTGTCCAACTGCTGCCGTATATCTACTTTTCCCAAAAGCTGCATTTCCAGTTGCGCATTGATATGGACTTGAGTGTTTTCATGTTTCTTAATTTTTTGTGCTAAATGTCCTAAGTCGGCTATTCCATTTTTTGTCCAGGCAGGCTCTGCAACCCCGTGACCAAACAACAAACAGGAAAAACAAAACAAACGGTTTGTTGTGCTGCATCCACAAATCCAGTTATTCTTTTCATATATTTCCATTTTAAACTTTCTAATAAAGCCTCTAGATTTACCCTTTGTGGTCTGAGTTAAGTTAATTTCTGGTGTAGGTCTTCCCGCATTTTTTATTTCAATTTTTTGCTCCAAACTCAATGAACTGAAGTTATGTTTCAAATATTCCACAGTGAAACCATTCATTTTAACTCAATATTTTAGTAAAACACTGCTACGAACATAAAAATTCGAACACACCTCCGATTACTGCATAAAATGCACGCGCAACGGACAATGGCGCACTCCAGAAGTGTGCGCCTTCTCCAACTAAAATTGCCATAACCCCGCTATACCCCGCAACCAGAACAGCTTGGTGAGAAACACACTAATCCCGCGTACATGATCGCATATGCGACTATTCGTCGTCATCCGCCGTCACCCGTCGGCGGCAGTCGGATCGGGCCAGACCAAATCACAAGTCGGAATCGCCCGAATCAGGCAGCGCAGCGGGAAGAGTGGTGACTCACCAGTGGAGAGCTACTAGATCTTTGATTTTATAGGATTAAATATCAGGGAGGCTCAGACTTTATTTGAGAAATTATTAAATGGATGTTATACATATTTATTATTATTTATTTTGGGGGTGCACGTGCTCATGTGCTCCTACAGTGGAACCGCCGCTGACCCCAAACCATAACTCCAACAGTGTGATGAACATGTCTTTCAACAAAAAACTGTGGATTCCTCCTTTCACCACGTCGCCTTCTAACCCTGGCACGACCATCGTGCGTGCCTAAACAAAACCGAGACTCGTCACTAAAGACAATACTGTTCCATTCCTGATCCCAGAGTGACCGTTGTCTGCACCACTCAAGGCGATTACGTCGGTGTTCTCGAGTTAAAGGAAGGACCCAGTGTGGCCGGTATGAAAATAAGCCAAAACTTCTCATTCGTCGGTAAACACTTCGCATGCCAATAGGTCTTCCGTGTTCTGCAAACCATTCATTTGCAATGGACCTGGTAGTGGAGAAACGGTCCCTTAAGACCAATAATCTTAGGCGGCGATCTTCACGGTCTGTTGTTCTACGGCGGCGTCCAGTGCCCCTTGCTCTTTGCGTACGGCCTTCTCGAAGCCATGCCTGACAACACCTAACCACAGTGTCTACACTTCTTTGCACGCTAACTGCAATTGCCCGAAAAGAAAGTCCAGCTTCCCAGTCCCACTATACGGCCCCTATCAAACTCACTAAGTTGACGAAATCGTACAGGTCTCCGTACTCTAGGCATCGTAACCGATCGTAAAGGATGTCAAGAACCAAAATCCGCCAACGTTGATTCTTTACTGCGGCTGAAATATTCATTTTTAGAGCGTTAGTGAATTAAAAAAAAGCAGTATAAAAACCGGAATGTCCAACTGATAAGGCTGAAAAGTTTTTCACTTGTTATTTACAGTAAGATAAATACATTCACCAACTTTTATTAAAATAAAACCATTTAAACTGGGTGTTCGGATTTATATGTCACTTAGTATATTTGGGAATTTCTTAATTGCTGTGAATATAGTGTGGATGTTTGTTCAGTTCCTGAACAACGAAAAATGTTCAACTTTATGGATGTATGGGTGTCAAAAAACCTGAATGGTTTTGTGGGAATATCAATCTAAGGTGCCATAATGGTTCTGATGAAGGGCAAGTAAATGAATGAATGTTTGGAAACGAGCAATATCTTTTGGTAGAGCCCTGTCATCAAGTAGGTGCTTAATGGCTATCTGCAACAGGTTTATAGGAAAAAACACCCAGTATCGCATATCAATTGAAGAAAATAATATAAACAAGAATAAAAAATCGACAATAGTAATTAAAACATGAATTTTATTCAAAAATCCAACATTTCTTTAAATTTTGACTGAATTATATGTAATTTCTTAATATTCAATAAGCTGGTGATGTTTCAATGACAAGCTGTCATCTCATAATTTGACAGTAGTTTGTTTTCAACATTTCATAGCTATTGGTTGCTAAAATTTGTTGATTGGAACTTGAAGCTCATTCGTTGTATTTGACGCTCTGTTACCCTATAGGTGGAGAATAACGGACTGTTGTTGGTAAAATTGGCCCTAAATGTTACAATCAATTTATTGGCAACTATCTATGAGAGGAGAGTTATGAAAATGTAGTAAGATGCACCCTACGCTTTTTACTCTGAATGGAATTGTTCTGTTAACAACTTAAATTTTATTATAATTTTATATTGAGGTCATCTACTACTGTAATATAAACTCTTTGTAATTAAAAATTATTTTCTTCTTTCTTACGTATCATTTCCTAATCAATCATTTCACTTAAAGCTTCACTGTTGCATGGGGTTTTTCATGTTAACCTAGAGAAATCAAGTTCTCCAATCTGAATACCGTCTAAAGATCTCACACGACTAAGTGCTACTTAAGCTTGTCCAGCAGCAAACAGTCGCGAGCCTAGATAAGTGACTGCATGATCGACTGTACTCGTACAGTCTTGCATCTTGGTCGAAGCCCAACTCAGGATTAATGGCAACATTCGTCTCTCAGCAGTTCCATAGCTGCATTTCGCTGAGAACTGTATCGATATCGGTTTAATCATGTGCACACCATCTGAACCGAAATCGATACGGGCAATAAAAAGCCTTTTGTGAATCATGGTTATCATATATTATATGAATACCATATTATAAATAGTAATTCACGTGTATTAGACTCATTAGTACCTACGCATGTATAAGGAATGAACAAGGTGAGAATGCACTACCTTGAAAAAGTATCTGCCTCCGTTGTGCTGTGCCGAGTGCCTAAATCAACAAAGAGTAAGTCCGAAACTGCACGCATGCGCAGATCGCGCGCCACCTCTATCTCTCTTACTCCTCTGTAGATGATCTATAAACGGATTTATCAATTCTGGCGGTCCTAATAATGATAATGGAAAACTGTTATCAAATTATTCCATTGTCGTCGGTCCTTGATACGTGTGCCAAGTTTCAAATCAATCAAACTTCTGAAAATTGGTTGAAAATTATGCTCAAAGATTCCATTACATACAAACATACAGGCCAAGATAATGAAAGCGTGTTAAAAAATTAAAAAAGGTATACCACAATCTGCCTCCTGTGAGGATTGAACTCGCGACCGCTGGTTTACAAGACCTGTGCTCTGTCACTGAGCTACAGAAGCTTATAGTTTTAGTATTCGTAAAGCGACATTTGAAATCCGTGGCTTTTTATTAACATATTTGCTTTTTACAGAATTTGCTTCTGAATAAGAATAATGGAAAACTGTCATCAAATTATTGCATTGCCATCGGTCCTTGATACATGTGAGAAGTTTCAAATGAATCAAACTTCTAGAAATTGGTGAAAATTATGCTCAAAGATTCGGTACATACAGGCCAAGCTAATAAAAGCGTATTAAAGAATATTGTATATTGTATATTGTATTGTATAGAAAAAAGCGTATGTTTACCATTTGACAGCACACTAATCACGGATTAACATTGAGACTCGTGAAACATTGTAGAGCGCATTACTGTCGACATTTTCTTCATTAACAGCTTGTAAAAAGTATTCAACCTAAACAGATATCGACCTGAAAAGATAGAGGCACGTTATTTTTTTTTAAATCATTACCTTAAGATCTAAAGACATAAAATCGATCTAATATCTTCTTGCAGACACCTTATGCTATAACAAACAACTTTTATATATCGCAATTTTGTAAAATATGACCTACATAAGAAGATTTTTTTTTATTTTTGTATGGAAAAGTGAAGTGAGACTCATGATACATTTTAGAGGACAATGTTGTCGACATTTTCTTCACAAACACCTTATGCAAAAGACCGTGACTAGATGGAATACTTTAATCAATGCTGCGACCTAAAAAAATACAGGCACATATTTTTAATTGCAAAAACAAAACTAAAGGCACTAGCGGTTTAATAATCCAGTAAAGTACAGTTAAAAATACCATATAACTATAACTCACTCCACTCTCGGAATGTCCGGGTGGAGGGTGGGCTCGAGGGAACAACATCGAAGATAAAATTTGTTTTTCGAACATCTGCGGGATCAACAGCAACATTGATGCTGTTCATCACTACCTGCAATCCAATCGTCCCGCCGTGCTTTTCTTGGCGGAGACAAAAATCTCAGAGACTGCACCGATTAACCATCTCAACTTCCCAAACTACGAGGTGCACTCCAATCTGAGAAAGAACGGGGGAGTTGTGGCTTTTGTCCGCAGCAGTCTTTCCTGCTCCAGGGATCTTTCTTTGGAATCAGACCGGAAGGACATTCTGTGGCTTCGCCTCAACTCCAAAACAGCACCCAAATTTATTTGCTGCCTTTATCGCTCTCCCTCGAACCATAACTGGGATGACCTACTCGAATACCTCGCCGTCCAGATCGACTACCTGAACATCAATCACCCCGCTTCAGAGGTAGTTCTTCTCGGTGATTTCAATGCCCATAATGAGCTTTGGTTAGGCTCAAATAAGACCGATGCAGCAGGTCGTGCAGTCGAAGCGTTCGCTCTTACTCAAGGGCTGACCCAGCTGGTGACGAGCCCTACTTTTTTCCCCCGGGTCTCGTCACACTCCAGTAGCCTACTGGATCTCTTTCTGACCACGCATCCTGCCCCTTACAGCACTGCTGTCCTGCCCCCCCTGGGTAACTCAGATCACGGTGTTGTGGAGGTTAGGTTTCGGTCAGAAGCCGCTGTGGCAGCAGAAACTCACACAGGCCGCAAAACTTGGCATTACGGACATGCCGACTGGGAGGGGCTCAGAGACTTCTTCTCTAGCTTTCCTTGGAGAGATGTCTGTTTCACTGACGCGGATGCGTCGACTGTCTGTTCTTCAATAACCGAAGTTATCCACGTCGGAATGGAGGAATACATCCCTCACACAGTGAAAGTTCCTAAACCAGGGTCCAACGGCTGGTTCAACAAATCGTGTGACACTGCTGGCCAGCAGAAGATCAAGGCCCACAGAACCTACTTACAAAACCCCACTGTAGAGAAC